ATGGTCGTGACTCGATTAGGGCTCGAACCCATGTTTCCTCCTGGGTTGAGAGACAGACACCTTTACCACTAGGCCACCGCTCCTCTTTCTTTCTTTAAAGTATGTACGTAAATTGTCTTAAGAATTATTGAAAGATTAATTTTCAGAAATGAAACGACAATAACTCTACCATTCACTGTACGTAATACCATTTTTACGAGACACTGGGTGACAGGGTGGTGGGATTCACATTTCTTATGATTATGTATGTTTATCCCTGTGTATAATATTGTTTTGTTTAATCTAAAAATGATCATGACAAAATTATGAGAATGAATTAGAAATTTATATGCAAAATTTATAGATGGATGGAAGATATTCAAACTATAAATGCAATTATTCTAAACATCTAAGGAATGGCTCCATATACAAAATATATCGTTAAGGAAACGGGCCAATAAACTGAGGTTTAAAAAACAATGGCTTAAAAATCATTTTCAAATTTAACCATAAACAGCGACGCATAAGATGGTGCCGTATAATTTCCCATTACTGTTACCATTTTTTGTAGTTTATGGTAACCGTTAAACTTCAAGTTATTATTTTTAGGACTCAGGAAAGAAGTTCACATATTTCGTTACAAGAGAAGACGTCTTTAAGGTACTACTCCGTTTGTGTATGTATGTGAAATGATCGTTTATAAACATGTACCATCTAAAGAAACGAAAATATGTTCTCCCGACCAGTTTTTAGTTTGGCAATAAAATTAGAAATGTCCGTGATATAGTAATGCATATTATGTGTTTATGGCTGTGAAATGGAATATAAGTATTTAAAATTTTTTTTGTTCTTTGTTCTTGATTTACAACCGGAAACGATCGGACGACCAGGATAATCTTACGAATATAGTTCACTTATATGATTTTTTATGAATTTTATGAATTTTAGGAATTATAGAAAAGCCATGGGAACTTACATGTCAAATTGTCAAATTCGTCCAAAATATTTCCGTTTCCTTTCCTTAATTCATCAATTCATTTTAAGATATTGCTATGAATTGAAGAGGAAGGGTCATAATTTAATTAAATAGAATATAATACTGCGGATTATTCAGTTATCTATCAACCTCTCAAATGTAATATTCCTTGTCGATTATCACTTTAATAGTACATTCCGAGAATTTCTCCGTTTTGGTACAGCTCTAAGAATATTTTGATTCACGTCTTCTGTTTATACATCTAAGCATGTTTCTCATCCGGCAGATTGAGTGAAAAAAGATTATTACTTCTTTAATTATGATTCTTGTTTATATACATTTTCTGTTGATTCAATACTCTCAATTTTGAAAAACTCTTTATGTCGAAGCTAACTTAAGTTTGTCATGACTTTGCAATTTAGGACATGATGAACCTTTCAAGTTTACGTAACAGCAAATTATCAGTTTCTGTTGTTTTTTTGCTGTTTTTTTTCTGATGCCAAATTTCGCCTGTTTCCTAACCGTTCGAAATTGTTTTTCCTCTCTTTTAAATTGATAATTTATTTCTGTTCGTTGCTCGGATAAAAACGTTCTTTTTACCTATTCATGAAGTATTTTTATTAGAGTTTGTACGTTGTGAGGAAGATCTTTGCTGCATATCTCCTGTTTTGTGGCCTCTTCATATGTCTTTATTTGTGTCTGGGGTCTTGATGATTTTTTTCATCAATTTTCGTCATTTTAAGGCAGATAATCTGCTGTTATAGCATGGCGTTTGCCGTTTTGTCTTTTAATTTGGTCCTCCGTGTTATTCAATTTCAAGTCCAACAAAAAATATACATAAGGCAGTATTACATGAATTTCAGTTTAAGTGCAAGTGAATTTAAAATTACCGATATTCTGCATCAAATTTTAAAAACATGGATACATTATTCAACCAAACACTTGAAAAGTAATATTGCAATTATGACAATATGAAAAGATATATTTCCTTTAACCATAACTCTCACTATTCATGCAAGAATAGGATATTGACTGAGTATGAAGTCTTTCGATTCAGCACAAATTTCATTGGCATCGACAGCAGATGACGTTCGATGAATTGTATGAAGTTCGTGATAAGATTTTTCTTACACTCGAGGACTATAATATTAAATTTACACACCGTAATACTATTTGCTTAAGCAATGACTGATGATACCGACTGATGCCATGTGATTTAATAAAACAGATTCTTAGCAAAGACAATCGTAACACCTCGGCTATTAATCATAATGATCTCGGATTGAAGTTGTTCTGCTACGTACTTTAAGATGTAAACAGAACAAGAGAGTGTAGTCTTTGGTTATGTACTACAAATGTATATATTTGACATCCAATTGAACTTGATTAAAACAAGGAGCCTTTATATACGCGATATAAGGAAGATAATTGTGATAATGTTTTTCCTTGACATATAGCAATAATTATTATGAAAATTATCTGATAAAGAAGTATACATATTGTTTTTAACCTATCACCAACATTTACACAAAAAGGAACACAATCGAAAACACTTCATAATACTTACAAAAAACTTAAGGTTTCCTCGCTTGCCTAGAAATACAATTCATATCTTTTTACCAAATCAGTACAAAAGTGCAAATTAAAATCCTATTGATGTCTTGCATGACTGACGTATGAATTTAAGGAATATAATTTTTAAATTAGATATGATGTAAAGTGTTTGACAAATATCAGTATTTAAGTTAAGATTTAGCTCAAGTAAGGAAGACAAATCTGTTAAATATGTGAAACAATATTTTAACACAATATTTTCCCTTCATTGATGACATTCGAAATGTTTTTGAATATATGCATAGCATAATGTTTTCATTTATTTCGTTTGTCAATGGACGACTATTCTTTCACTCAAATTAAATTAATTTCAATTGCAAATAACCTTTCTGTACAGCATTCAAAATGTTTAATTTTGGAGAATAAACAAATATGATTGCTTATATAAAATTGATCCTTACACGTTTACCTTAAGTTCTATTTATTTTTAAAAACATATAAAATGTTTATCGGCATTTGTTCTGTCTTTCGATTTCCATCAGCATTCCATTTGTTTACCGTGGAGTTGCGTTCAGCTTGCAACCAACTGAGTGAACAATTCAAACAATGTTTGTACCCAATTAACAAGAGTGTTTGCTTGTTTTTATACTTTTAAGCAAATTGTGTGAACCACTACTTTGCACAATCAACAACTATTTGAATATTTACTTAATATTTGCAAGACGTTTTTGTCAGTCAAAATGCATGCTGTTTAATAGGTAAATTATCAATAGGAACAATAGGTGTTTATGGACTTAAAAAATCTTGTTAATGAATGCTTAATTTAATTGTTTCAAAAACTAACACAATTTATATTTTTGCATACTACATATTCTAAGTACACTGCGTATTATCCCCGACCCCTTTACGAAGGGATGCAAAAAAACCATTGATACAAATATCAAAGTGCGCCGAGATGAAGTAGCAAAGAACATTGTTGAAAAATACTGAGGTCTAAGCCTTAGGTACAGTTTGAAGTGTTTGGAATTGTCCATCAAGAAATAAAGGATTTAAATATCTAATTGTTAAATAAAAACTTCCAACAGTATAGATACGTCGATACGTAGGTCAATTTTTTTTCAAAACGTGTTTGTTTTTACGCCGATTGTAACTCAAATTTTGGTCATATATAGGCGATAAAAGTGTTGATTATTTGCTTTGTTTTTATGTTTTAATAATACACACTGTCAATGCTAAATGTTTCATTCATATCTCATATTACAGTATTGTTCCAATTTTGATATCACCATATTCGAGCGAGTACATTACAACTGTATGAACGTAGGGGTAGTGGTTCTGAGATCGCCTTATGGCTAAAGATAAATATGGACCGTTCCGGTTTTTCGTAGCGTAACATTTAGCCACACCTTTTCCATTCATTGCTAGGTCAACTGCTCACAAACAGTATGACAAACATAAGCACGTGTTCGTTTGTGCAAACCAGGTCAACCAGTGACTATGCATTATCTCACTGTACCGATTGGATAACAAGTTAGCCAATTTACATAAAACTGTGAACACCGGAAAGGTCCATTACTTTTAAAGGTCTAAATCTTAACCAAATAACCGGCTAGAACTGAAATTGATAAGCTTTTGCCATAAAAAGAGCCAAATCAGCTACACATTCGTGCAGTTTAAACAGACTCTATACTGTTTGTAGCTCAATTTTGTATTTTGATAATGAATTCTGAAATTCCCTTGGTATTCAAATGGACTGTTATTGAATCGAAGCAGAGCAAAACCGTTACAATCATTCAGGTTAAATTTAATTAAAAATCAATTTGAAGCAAGTTCAACGGAAACAATCTTGTTTGTTTTATTTTCCTTTTATTTACTATACTTTACTTTATAATATAATAGTAGATATTTTGTGTAAGTATACACTCCTGATTAATACATGTATATAAGTCTTTAATGAAAGCATATGTTGTAGCCCAAATGGAAATGTTAAATACAATTGTATCATTCTAATAAGAAAATTATTCTAACACAATTTCGTATCGATTGCATTTCACAATACATTTAGCAATTAACACTTAAGATGATTTCAAATGTTTGTTTAATCATTTAACATAATTGGTATTTAACAATAATATTTAGAGCATTTTCTAACTTAACAAATATGATAATAAAATCTACAGTTAGTAACACTAATAGATTTTGCAATACCATGAATACCGTGACTGTGCATTCCAATCAAAAAGTTATCGTCAACGATAAAATATGACCGAATTAAGGTACATTATATATGAATAGAAATCTTTACCTGTAATATGTAAGGCTTGTGATATTAATGCATTGTGCTTAAACTGAAAGTATACTAAAATAATGATACATGTAGTCAGTATATATGATCAAAGATTAGAATTGTATCGCACTAGCAAACAAATTAAACTGTTAAATAAATAGTAGTAATGTCCGTTGTAGGGTTCTGATTTAGTTTATTTATATTCTATCCAAGAACGTCGACAGACTTTAGCATCATTTCACCGGATTCCTTGTCAACGACTTTAACAACAATTTTTGTTCCACCAAAACTAAAACTTGTTCCAAATTTATGATTTATTCCAGAGCTTGTGTCAGAAATAGGCACTGTCAATTTTCCAATGAGTTTGCATCGATCTTCCGTAGTAAGCTGTGGATTTCTTGAAGAGGATGAATAAACTATGGTGTTTATAGTAGTTTGATCATTGGAAATAGGGGTAGCTATGCGTTCTGTCTGTTCTTCATTCACCTGAACGGAGTGTCCTTCTTTAACATGAATATATTATATGAAGATATTATAACATAGTAAGTCTCCATATTCATCAATTTTAACTCTACCTTTTGGATGTTTGCAACTTTCACTGTACTCATGAACAACTTCCTCCCCATATGTAAACTTGCATACCCTTTCAGTTATTGTTGTAGGTTTGTGACCAAAGATGACAGCTCCTTTTAAAACTGCTAATCCTGCTTCGTCTGGAACGATTATTTTAATATCTTTGAATGTGGACTTTACGTTCTCTTGCAACACCGATGATTCAGAAAATCCACCAACCATCAGAATGGCAGCACAACCATCAACTGAAGGTGTCGTCAACAGATTTTTGACATGACTTATTATTTTGCAAACAGTTGGTTCAAAAAACTCATTGAAAACGTCGTTATCTATTTTCAACCTATCTCGTACAACCTGGACTTTGTTTTCAAATCTAGACTGTAGTAATAATTCCCTTAAACCGGTTTCTCTGAATTCTTCACATAACTCAGAAAGGCTAGATGGCAAACGGATAGTTACGGAGCTTGTAGAATGAATAGGTTTGCGTTTTTTGCTTTCAAATTCACGACAAATGTCAATGTAGTCCTCCATATGTAAACTTTTAAATTTTGAGATGACATCCAGTCCTGAAATACGATTTATTTTGATAATCTAAAATGAAATCTGGATAGTCTGACATTTCATTGCTATTATATTGATATGGTATTGATAAGTGCAAACTGTAACATATCTAAGTTCATACAAAGAAAAAATATGGTAAATAGTGATCCCTCGGAAGCACTAAAAACATCAAAATAACATGAAAATTTCAGACTCGATTTGATTGAATCGTTTCATGAGGGGTTATGACAATGTGCAACATCCCTCTTGCCCTCTACCACCGTCTTGAGCGGTACTCAATTCTCAACACTTGTAAGTGTTGGCTTCAATGATCCCAAAGGACCAGAAAAATATAACAACACTTAAGTGAAGTACGAGGCAACTTGTTATGACTGTCACACGGCACATGACACCTGCTGTTGTGACGTGTAAATATCTGGAAAACAGTGATCCATCGGAAGCATTAAGAAAAACAGCAAGATTACATGATATTGCAGACTGTTTGATAAGGAATAATGGCAATGTATTACATCCTTCACGAACCCTAGCACCGGTTTGAGTGCTACTCAATTCTTCATCCACTTAATCAAATAAGTCTGAGTTTACATCTTTGAAAATTTATACACATTTACTGTTAATTTAAACAATAATTATTTTCTGTTCATTTACATGATAAAGTACATATAATATATTTTACGGATTGTGTAGGAATATCTCTTTTTAAAACTTAGTATTGTTACATACTAGTACGAGTATATACTTCTTATGTGCACTTCATACATGAAGTTCAAACATTTTATTGTTCATTTTAAATATCTATTTGTGTCAAATATAAGTAACCTACCCACAATACTTGATATAAACCTACCCACAATACTTGATATAAACTTTTCAAATGCTTCGTCTACTTTAGTTCCTCCCATTTGACCACCACTTGCTTTTACGAGTTCCTTCAAGTTTCCATTGTCAGTTACTTCGTGTACAGTTATGTCAACTGTTCCTCCTGTTAAAGGAAACAAACAGCCATATACTATTATAATAAAAAAACAGGCATAAATAACTTTTTATAGGGTTATGAGGATAATATGAAAAAGTTTATAAAACTAGAAAACAATTGGTTTTGTCGTTTCGTTTTTGTTTCGCCTTAAAAGTTGACATATAGGGGCTACTTTTGTCCTATAAGGCTTGTCCGCAACATACCTATAGGTCGGCTTGACAGGAGTGTTATGCACAAGAATTGTTACTATGCACTTCTTATTTTTTGACTTATTGCCCTTTGTTGATTTTCAGACTTTATTTTTGTCCGGGCAATTTCTCCTTAACTAAAAAAGATCAGGACTTGTAATTTCATAGTGTGATAGATCTTATTAAGAAGAAGTGCGCACAAAAAAAACAGTACTCTGCACTTCATGATCTTTGAACAATTGTCTTTGCTTATTTTTATAATTAAAAGACTTGTCCAGAGGATAACCTGGTCACTATAAGTTTGATTGATACCAAATTTGGTATGCAAGCTTATTCTATTGACCTTTGAGTGCAGGGCACAATAATCCATCACAGAGTCCTCCATTTGACCTGTCAGTGTATGCTTTTTTCATGTTTTTTTAATTTTTTTAATTTTGATCATATTAAAGTTTTATTAATTCTGACGTACCATTGTTACAATCAGTTCAAATGCCAGTAAAGTAAAAGTACATTGTAGGAGCAGTTCTTATAAATAACATATATCTTAAAAATGCCTAACTGACAGCTATACTGTTGACAAAAGGACACATACGACTCGCGAAGTTCTAGTTTTTAATTAGTAAAACAAGAATACCTCCTGCGTCAAGGACAAGATACTTTGTTCCTGGTGAAAACTGGGAAAAAGATGCAACTTCTTGCTCTGTACATTTTAACACCGGAAGATGACGACAATAAATAGATGCGGCTTCAGGTTCAAGACATAAACGAAGGTTCTTTCCTGGAATCCCAGCCTATAAAATCAAAAGTTTAAGTAGAGAATTGAGTACCGCTCAAGCCGGTGCTAGGGGGCGTGAGGGATGTTGCACTTATTCATTATCCCTCATGTACAGACTCAATCAAACCGAGTCTGCAATTCTTAAGTTATTTTGTTGTGATTAATGCTTCCGAGATATCACTTTGTTTCAAGAATTTTGATGAAGTAAATATTTGAATGAGCTTAAATTATTAACATAATAATCGTATGAAAAAAAAAATATGCAAAAAATGGAAACAATTATATAAATACATATCTAATCAATATAAGGCTGTAACAGTTCGCTACTTTATACGGACAGTGACTGCATAGCTATATGAATAGTTCCTTTCATAAGTAGCGTTTCGAATACAATGAACGGATTCAAAGTTTTTGAACTTTGTGATATACTTGTATATCCCTAAGGAAATTTATAGCGTTTAACTTACTATAGTTGTTTAATCGCTTTGATTATAAACAAAATGAACGTTGATGTTGCAATATCCTTTCACATTCACATACCTGTTGTGCTGCCTCTCTCATAAACTGTTTAGCTGCATCGTTCCATATTGCTGGAACAGTGAGAACCCACTGTATATCAGATTCAAAATTTTTTGTATCAACATGACGACTCAGAGTATCAAGGACATCCTTTCTTAAGAAATCAATAGCTAGAGAGAAAACCCTTATTGCCGGTAGCTTTTTACCAATCTCATCTTCTAGTATATCACGTCTTGTCATGCCCTAATACATTAGATAGAATAAAACTATTAAATGAGATGAACGTATATGTCCTTGTTGTGAAACTTCAATAGAAGATGAATATCATTTAATATCAATCTGTTATTTATATGATGATATACGCTGCCTATATATTTCAGAAAATTGCTACCAACATTTGATAAATTATACTCCTGAATGTCTAACAACAATGACATTTAAAACAACGCAATGCATTAGATAAAAAACGACTTTATTTTAATATTTGTCAATAAATACTAAAATACTATTTTAGTTGATTATGTATACATGTCTGTACTTACTGTCTATGTGTTGAAATTATTTTTATTTTGTAAATGTTTTATAGGGTCAGAGACCAAAAGACTTGCCAATAAAATTAAAATATCATTAATTAATATGTTCGTTGTATTTACATTTGATCACTATCTTATAAGTGATTTCACTATAGATTACTTCTTGTAATCAAATTTACTCTTAGCTGCATACTACAAAATATGCAAAAATGTTTCACCTGTATACGAAAGTAATTGTCTAGCAATAGACCAGTTCAATGTAAATACGTCACAAGAAATATTCTTTATAAGTTATTAATTAAGTGATTCATTTTCCCCGTCTGTGCAGACTGGGGGGGGGGTATGTACGTATGCATTATAAATGTGGCATTCATGTTCATTTATACCTTTTCTCTGAAAAGCATCATTTTAAATCTTTTAAAGAAGAACCATTGGTGTTGTTCCTCCTTCTCGCATATTTCAACATATTTGTCCTCAGCATCATAACCGAAAGAATGTGGCGTTTTTCCATCACAATTTATAAGAATGCACGTTGGAACTGAAAGCAATAGCTTTGAATGGGCATCAGTTGAAACAAAATACACTCAACAAAAAAATATCAAGGACTTTTGTTTGAGAATAATGTTTGACATTTGACTAAGAGTAATATGTTGAACCAATAGTCTTATGATTTATAATGAAAATAACCCGACATTAAATAATAATAATAATGCAACTTTACTGGAACATATGTAAAAATAATGACGTGACACGGTAAAGACCGGAAGAAGACGTCATCTGAGCGTCTTTGTATCATAAAGAAACATTACAATCACGGTAATAGGAATAATCCGAAAACGTCGCATTTAAATTTTTTCTTATTTTTTAAAGTTATTTTTCCAAAGGTTATTATAATGGTATCAGGTCCGAAGTATTGTGCGCTGCTTCTCAAATTACACGCCACATTTCTAGAAAATAATGATTTAAATTACGTGGAATGAAATCATATTGTTTATATAACAACAATTCTTGTACTATATACTTTTTTATGATGTCATCGTGAAAGATATATTATTTAAATGCCAGCTGACACTGATATAACTAAACTCAAGAAGAAACACGTTTTTGTAAGGTATTATATATGACAATATGTAACCTTCGCATATGTCTTAGGCCTCAATTTGAAGTTTCTCATACGCGGCATACTAATTCATATGTGAGCCGACAAAACCAACATAGTACGTTATCGACCAGCATGGATCCAGACAAGCCTGCGCATCCGCGCAGTCTGATCAGGATCCATGCTGTTCGCTATCAGTTACTCTACTTGTAATAGGGTTGGTAAGCGAACAGCATGGATCCTGATCAGACTGCGCGGATGCGCAGGCTGGTCTGGATCCATGCTGGTCGCAAACCCGTTATATTGGTTTTGTCGTGACGCGACTCATATAATATTCATAATGAAGATTCGTAAAAAATTTTGTTTAAGACTGTAATCATCCTATTTTAGCATTTTTGTATTTAAATATATAAACTGAATGTGTCTGTATGGTACCTTTAAGTGTTAAAGTTGCATATGGAATAGTCCTTGCTGTTATCTTCAGAGGATCTCGTTCAAAGTCAGACTTGTATGAAAACGCCCATCCTGTGTATGTTGTTCAAAAATCAATGGCTACCACAACTAACGGGCTCATTGCCTGTAAGAAGTAAAATTCTGTTTAATAATATATGTTTTTTGTTAGGCAGAACAATTAAATGTTTCAAGTAAAGACATGTGGCTCCGGTCCTGATTATTGTCGGTAACCAGTTAAAAAAAGGTATGAAAGGGTAATTGCTAAGAAAAGATGGTAACACAAATATATTATTAGTTATAAAATGTTTGACACATTATATGTCCCTATCTGCTTAATTAATGATATCAATAAAGCAATATTACATTCAGGAAATCATATTTTTGCAAATATTTCCGCACGCAAAAACTTCACTTTTTGACATTTGCAAAAATTTTCTGACACATAAATTTCCACTTTATATACAGTTTATTATTTTTCTAAGGAATCTGCACACAAACTTTGTCTGATCATAGTGTTAGATTTGTCAAATTCATTTAAAACAACATTGTGATTTTACTAAATTAATATCAAGCTACACGTAAACCACTTAATTTAACAACGTTTGTTACATCAAAATTTAAAACTGGCAACAAAAGATACAGAAAAACATTAATATTCCTAATAACAATTTTACTTTATTTTCAGTATCCTTTTATCAGTTGTTACATCAAACGAATAATAGTTATCGAATTTTATAATTTAAAATTTTATAAATGATATAGCTATTAATTAAACAAATTACCTAATATAATTATATATAAAAGTATATGAATTTTAAGGCGTTGCGAAAAGATTATGCCAATTATGTCAATGCTCTGAGATCGGAGATGAAATTTTATTTTTACATACAAGGCTGATTAAAATTTAAGATATCAATTAATTAAACGTCAATTTTATCAGAGACCTAGTATATTCAAATTCATAGATATGCTTAAGTCAAACAGTTAGACCAGTGTAAAACAATCTTGGGAAATTTATTTATTTAGCCAATGTGAAGAGAAATGATTTGATAAATTCATATCCTAGACTATAACAGTGTTCATTATATTCACTGTTAAATACTAAATAATGGATATAGCGGTCGCCTACTGGTTGGTTCCAGGAAATGGACTCAAAAGTGATTAATATAAGTTGAAATAATTTGTTTCGCAATCGAGCTTAAATAAATATGTTTAAACCTAGTGAAATAGTATTTTCTATCCAAAAAAATCTAAATTCAATTTTATAAGATCTTAACCCCTAAATGAATTTTAATTTGTTATATTAAATACCAACCGTGACAAAATTATACTATGTATAGTTTTATGTACAGCAAAAACCATGAAATTATATTTACATGTATGAAGAATAAATATTTTCTTACTCTTTATCAACTTCTATGTGTTAATCTAATATGCATTGTGATACAATGACACTACTGTTTATATGATTGATGAACATAAAGATTGAACTTAAAAATGCATTAAAGGTACGGTGTAATAGGAAGCCCCGACATCCATCATACAAATAAACGGGGTAACATTGTTAGATCCTAAATGGAATTAAGCGGTGGATATATAAAGTACTAGACTAGCAATGCATTTAAAATCCACTGAGATCTTCTGACACAATAAAGCAAGAAGTACCTTACTTGTTGACAGGGATGCTCACGTAACAAACTATATCTTTTTCTTTCTTTTATATCTAGATTTTTAAAACGATGTTTTCTATTTTCTGTTTGCTGTCTCATATTTTGTTGACTGATGATATTGTATTCATTATTGAACTTTTCCTGTTGAAGAAACTTGCTGGAATGTTAATGGTTTAAAGGTTTGGACAACTTTCGTTCCTTTAGCACCGTAAAGCGGCATATTCAAATGATTACAAAATCAATGGGACAAATAGATAAAAAACCAACACAAATGAAAATATCAATACATGTTTCGCTTTATTAGTTTTGTCAGTTGAACATAATGAAAAACAATGTAAATAACACACTGACAAGTGACAGATCTGTTCTGCTTAATGTAGATTGCTCTCCTTACTATAGGCGAATAAAATCTTGTTCGTTACAAAGAGATTTTCTTTAGGATCAAATAAAATTTTTACAATTGAACAATGGCGACGCGTAGTGGGAAACTCAATAGCGAGGATGTAGGTACTAAACATTGGTTGCCAAGCAAGAAGTCTGTCAATTACCACAATAGAAATTGGTTCGAATGAATGTTGAACGGTAAAAACCTAAAAAATATTTATTTCGGAAATAACTAAACCTTACAATATATTGACATGACCACTAAAAACATCAAAGAATTCAGTTACGAACAACTTGTTCAGTATTGTTCTATCGGGCAACGTTTGACCAATTTAATACTAATATACACGTGTATTTTTCAATTACGATCTGATAAAGATTTTTGTTTTTGAAACTCTCGATTTTGTTTTTACTTTCGTCCAAGTACATTGCATTTGTATCGAATGATATATGCAGTGCACTTAAGAAGATATATGCATGACAAAATATATTACTTTTAGCATGGAAATTACCATGTTTATCTTATTGAATGTAAATAACATTTTCATAATTTACACACATTATCTTGAAATACGAGTTTGAAGATCTCTGTGTAAACATATGAGATATTTAGTTAAGATAATATAGTTTTAATGAACTTATACATATAGTCATTAGTTTGCAGATACATACTCGTCAGCGAATAAACATTATCACTTGTGAACTTTTTCGGGGATGACATGTGTATGCTCCGTATCATATACATAAAATTATTATAATATTATCATTTATATTTTTATTTTTATATTATATTTTATATATTTTTTGTAGTAGAGGTAAGTCCTCGCAATATTAAAAAAAATGATACAAGAAAAAAAAAACAAGTCAAATTCATTTAATGTTTGACATATCGAGAGTAACTATGGCAGGTAATTCTTTTTCATAAAAATAATACATTATTGTAAGACTGGAGTAGACAATCCTACAATAACAAACTCTAATTATATTTATTCTACAACGGGTCGAAATAAATATAGCCATTATTCTTTAATACAAGTAAAATGATGATTTATTATAGGGATACTCAAGCAAATTTATGACAAAAAATATCAAAGTTATCTT